TATCCAGTCCAAATAAAAATTAACCCCTTCCCTACCAGTCGATCACTGCCTGCAGTGATCAAAATACGGATCACAGTATTATACTGTAATCTAAGTTTTTTTTAACCACTGAGGAATTACTTTTATTTATTTTTTTAACCCTCAGGAGTTCAATTTATGTAATTAATTAATTTAAATATTTTATAATTATATAATTTTCTAGCTGGGGTGGGTGGGAGTTATGGGAAAGCGGGGAATTTACTGTTAGTGCTGCTTACTGCTAGTTAGGGGTTAACGGAAAAAAAAGCTTATAAAAATGTTAAATCTGTAAAAAAAAAAGCTTTAAGAAAGTTTAGGAAAGTTTAAAAAAATTAATAAACCAAAAAAAGTTTAAAAACTAGTTTTAAAAAGTAAAAAAAGTTTTAAAAAGTAAAAAAATACATTTTAAAACGCTTATTACCACTACACCTGGAACAAACTAGAGAAAAAATGATCCCACGCTAAGGTTCAAAATACGCCTTTTGAAATACCCCAGGGTGTATTCTTTAATAAATAGTATGTGTTTGTGGGGAAGTTTCAATAACCAACCATCTAAACGACTCCAAAATGGAACATGGACACAGCGTAAAACTTCAAAGTTAGAAAAAAAATGGAATGGCTGTGTCCCAAATGTGCCCCTCCGATGTCCACCTATACCTGGAAAAGGTACATACAGGTGTATTGCTGTACTCAGCCGACTTAGCTGAGCAACATATGAAGTATTATACAGTCGTAGCACGCCTAAGCCTTGCAAAATATACTGTGCAAACCAGGGGCGTTTTAGCCGCGAGGCAAACAAGGCATTTGCCTTGGGCGGCATTTTTCAGGGGGCGGCAAAAAACGCCACCCCCCAAATGCCTTGTTAGCCTTGCGACTAACTGACCGGCTGGGCTGGCGGTCCGCTCAGCTCCCTCGCGCGCCGCAAAGTGAGGCTGGGAGCCGGAAGATGACGTCATTTTCCGGCTCCCAGCCTCACTTTGCGGCGCGCTAGGGAGCTGAGCAGACCGCTCAGGGGAAGAGCTCCCTCGCCTGCCCAGCCCAGCCGGCAACCACTGGACCACCAGGGAGGTAATGAACCCCCCCCCCAGCACTAAATAAAATTAAAAAAGTGTTAATGTGAGTGAGTGAGTGTGTGTCTGTTAATGTGTGTGTGTTTTGTTACTGTGTGTGTGTGTCTGTTAGTGTGTGTCTGACTGTGTGTGTCTGTTAGTGTGTGTCTGACTGTGTCTGTTAGTGTGTATGTGTGTGTCTGACTGTGTGTCTGACTGTGTGTCAGTGAGTGTGTGTTTGCCTGTGAGTGTGTGTGTCTGTTAGTGTGTGTGTGTCTGACTGTGTGTCAGTGAGTGTGTGTTTGCGTGTGAGTGTGTGTGTCAGTGAGTGTGTGTCTGTTAATGTGTGTTTGTTAGTGTGTGTGTGTGTGTTAGTGTGTGTGTGTGTGTCTGACTGTGTGTGTCTGTTAGTGTGTATGTGTGTGTCTGACTGTGTGTCAGTGAGTGTGTGTGTGTCTGACTGTGTGAGTGTGTTTGCCTGTGAGTGTGTGTCTGTTAGTGAGTGTGAGTGTGTCTGTTAGTGTGTGTGTGTTTCTGTTAGCGAGTGTATGCGTATCTGTCAGTGAATGTATGTGTGTGTTTGTGTGTTTAGAAGGCGGGTTGAGGGGAGGGAGGTTGGCGCGGGGGGGGCGGGGGGGGTGGCGCCTGAGTTTTGTCCAGCCTAGGGCAGCACAAAACCAGGATGCACCACTGGTGCAAACTCACTTTGTGTGTCACTTGGTACAAGCTAGTGGAAAAATTATCCCCTACTAAGGTTCAAAATATGCCTTTTGAAATATCCTGGGATGTCTTCTTTAAGAAATGGTATGCCTTTATGGTGTAGTTGGAACATGTAGCCTGCTCAACTGCTCCAAAGTGGGACATGGACACATCAAAACCTTCCATGAAAATTCACACTTAAAAACCTGAACTTGTCACGTCTCTATTACAGCACTGTTACTTCACAAGATAGTGTCTAGGTCATACATTGGGCATATTGTTTTACTCAGAAGGTGTAACTGAGTATAATTTGGGGATTTTTATGACAGTGGTACATATTAAGTGTAAGAAATACTCATCAAAATTGCAACATATATGTAAAAATGCCATTTCCCCTCCCCCCCCTTCACCACAAACATTGACATAAATTGGTGAAAAAATGGTGACAAGTTAAGGCACAATATACACCAAATAGGATACCCTGGGGTGTCTGATTTATCAAATGGGGTTATTTGAACAGTCACACTGCTAGAATACCCTAAAATGACACATAGACCCGTCAAATCCATCAACGAAAATTCTAACTATAGAAACTGAAATAGCATTGTCTCTGATATGGCACTGTAGCTTTCCAGAAAAGTACCAAATGCGTACAATGGGGGTATCTTTATACTCAGCAGATGTAGCTGAACACAATATGGGGTTCTGTGCAGGAATAGCACATACCAGCTTTACAAAATACACATTACAAAAACCTTGTTATATATGTATATGCCAAAAAAAAGAAAAAACATAATTTTACTCCAATATTTAGCAGAGATTGGCTTTATAAGCCTTCCCCCTGCCCTGCAGAGCTCAGTCTGCGTGGAGCCCTCCATGGGTGAAGATGGATTTTTTTTGCGTCTGTTTTTTTTCCTTGGTTTTTTTTTGCGCTCGGATTTTTTATTTTATTTTAAGTTCGATGGGTATGATGGTTTTTTTATTTGGCCTTTTTTGAGGCTGAAAAATTAAGATTTTAGAAGAAAGATGACATTGAATGGTAAGTTTTCTTTTTCTTTACAGGTTAGTTATTTTATTCCCCCCTCATTATTTTTAGGGTGAGGGGGGTAGGTAGGGGGTAGTTTTTATTTGGGTGGGCGGGTTGGGTGACTAGGGGCTTGGGGACCCCTAGTCACCTTTGAAGGGAGGGGGATTGTCATTTAGGGCCCCCACCCACTGCCCAAATTGTTATTTAGGGCCCCCACCCACCACTCGGGTGGGGGCTGGGGAGAGAACAGTAGGTCCCCCCACCCACATTCTTATTCATGGCCCCCACCCGCCACTCAGGGGTGGGGGAGGACAATAGGTCCCCCCCTCCTTATTGTTATTTAGGGCCATCACCCGCCGCTAAGGGGTGGGGGCCATTGGGGGCAATAGGTTTAGGCTGCTCATTGTTTACTAGACATGCCCCTACTCGCTATAGGGCTGAATTTACTAATACTAAGTAATCTTTACTTAGTATAAGTAAATGTGGCTGAAAGACCAATTTAGGTCTTTCAGCCTTTTGGTAGATAGCTTGGGAATTAGGGAGTTATCTACTAAGCGGCTGCAAGATGCAGCCACAGCACGAATAGGATCTGATTTTCCTTCATTCGAATGAAATTGCGATCCGAACAAAGTCCTGAATTGCGTTCTAAACACGAATGGAGAAACTGTTCTCATTCTGTTAGGACGCAATTCAGCAGTTTTGCCGGCGTTCTGTCTAAGTGACAGAACGTTCGGCAATACTGACAGGAAGCATCGTGGGAACAGGGAGGAAAGCTAAGGATTATGGGAAAATTGCTCTGACCACCGGAAACGAAGCAAACTTTGTTCCTACGCTGGTCATGGCGTAGGAAACCTCGAGAAGAGAAATAGCCCCTACTTTGTCTTAATTTTTAAAGAAAACTAGAGCAGACAGGAAGAAATGAAGAACAGATCATGAGAGAGGGAGAGAAGAGGAATCAATAGGGAAAGGTAAATTCGGCATGACAGTGCCACTTTAAGCATGATCATCGCATTATTAAGAGATTTGTGGCTGATTCAGAGAACTGCCGGGTTTGTGCAGATAAAGGCACATTGAGGAAGATGTCTGCCAGATCCATGCATCGGATCAAGAAAGCAGCTGCTAAAATACCATTACATAGCAGTAAACCTATATTTGAAGCTGATGGTACCTCTGGAGTCCCACGGACATCAAGGTGTAGAGCCCTCCAGAGTCTTGCAACTGTGTATAAACCTTCTATTTGGCCACCACTAACCAATGCTCACAAACAGAAATGGCTGCATTGGGCAGAAAAATACATGAAGACTAATTTTCAAACATTCCTGTTTACTGATGAGTGTCATGCAACCCTGGATGGTCCAGATGGATGGAGTAGTGGATGGTTGGTGGAGTCATGTTTTGGGCCAGAATTATGGGAAGAGAGCTGGTCGGCCCCTTTAGGGTCCCTGATGGTGTAAAGATGACCTCTGCAAAGTATGTGGAGTTTCTGACTGACCACTTTCTTCCCTGGTACAGAAGGAAGAACTATGCTTTCCGTAATAAAATCATCTTCATGCATGACAATGCACCATCTCATGCTGCAAAGAATACCTCTGCGTCAATGGCTGCTAAGGGGATAAAAGGAGAGAAAGTCATGGTGTGACCTCCATCCTCCCCTGACCTCAATCCTATTGAGAACCTTTGAAGTATCCTCAAGCAAAAGATATATGTGGGTCGGAGGCAATTTACATCCAAACAGCAGCTCTAGGAGGCTATTCTGACATCTTGCAAACAAATTCAAACAGAAACTGTCCAAAAACTCACAAGGTCAATGGATGCAAGACTTGTGAAGCTGCTATCAAATAAGGGGACCTATGTTAAAATGTAACGTGACCTGTTAAAATGTTTAAAAAGTTAAAATGTTGTTATAAGTTTGATTAAAAAATAGCATTTGATTTCAGTAAATATGCTGCAACACAACAAATGACAATTTCCAGTTCTTTGCAACCTATAAAGTGTTTTGAAACTTACTGTGCGTTATAATTTGGAAGAGTGCATTGTAAGTTTTTAATTTTTAAAAAAATACTGTTAACATTAGGAGGTTTGTTCAATAAAATTTGAATTGTACTCGTAATAGTTGATAACATGAGAATTATGCTGACTGTTATTTACATCAATTATTTAGGTAAATTAGAAAAATATCATTTGCATAATAATTTGGAACAGGGTGTGTTGTGGAAATGAGATATTGACATATTTTTTAGCTAGTAAAATGCCTATTTACTCCATTTAGTTATACTCAGTATTATTCAATAAATTACTAAACTGACCACTAGATGCCACTCAGGAGTACCCCACCCATCGACCAAACACTCTCATTTTCAAGATGGCGCTGGAATCCGGGGGAGAACTTCATGACGACAGTAATGACATAAGATGGCACACCCAGTAGGACGTGCTTTGAATAAAACACTTAACACTTAACCAATTACTGATGTATTATTTCATGTTATCTTTGACAGTGCTTTGATGAAACACATACAGTATATATATTATAATATGGGGATATAACACAGAATGAAACACATACAGTATATATATTATAATATGGGATATAACACAGAATGAAACACATACAGTATATATATTATAATATGGGGATATAACACAGAATGAAACACATACAGTATATATATTATAATATGGGATATAACAGAATGAAACACATACAGTATATATATTATAATATGGGATATAACACAGAATGAAACACATACAGTATATATATTATAATATAGGATATAACACAGAATGAAACACATACAGTATATATATTATAATATGGGATATAACACAGAATGAAACACATACAGTATATATATTATAATATGGGATATAACACAGAATGAAACACATACAGTATATATATTATAATATGGGATATAACACAGAATGAAACACATACAGTATATATATATTACAATATGGGATATAACATAGAATGAAACACATACAGTATATATTATAATATGGGATATAACAGAGAATGAAACACATACAGTATATATATTATAATATGGGATATAACATAGAATGAAACACATACAGTATATATATTATAATATAGGATATAACACAGAATGAAACACATACAGTATATATATCATAATATGGGGATATAACACAGAATGAAACATACAGTATATATATTATAATATGGGATATAACACAGAATGAAACACATACAGTATATACATTATAATATGGGATATAACACAGAATGAAACACATACAGTATATATATTATAATATGGGATATAACACAGAATGAAACACATACAGTATATATATTATAATATGGAGATATAACATGGAATGAAACACATACAGTGTATATATTATAATATGGGGATATAACAGAATGAAACACATACAGTATGTATATTATAATACGGGATATAACACAGAATGAAACACATACAGTATATATATTATAATATGGGATATAACACAGAATGAAACACATACAGTATATATATCATAATATGGGGATATAACACAGAATGAAACATACAGTATATATATTATAATATGGGATATAACACAGAATGAAACACATACAGTATATATATTATAATATGGGATATAACACAGAATGAAACACATACAGTATATATATTATAATATGGGGATATAACACAGAATGAAACACATACAGTATATATATTATAATATGGGGATATAACACAGAATGAAACACATACAGTGTATATATTATAATATGGGGATATAACACAGAATGAAACACATACAGTATGTATATTATAATATGGGGATATAACACAGAATGAAACACATACAGTATATATATTATAATATGGGATATAACACAGAATGAA